ACTCAATCTATTACTATTACTTTTCTTATATTTATTTAAAAAAGATAATTAAAATATGACTTGATTAAATTACTTGAAAAATTTTTTTTTTACAATAGAATAAATTTTTGCAATTTGTTTAGTTTATTTTTTTTAAGTTTACCATTAAGTAATTGAATTTGATAAAATATGAGAAGCAGTTAGTAAAAAGAAAAGAAATTCATTTTTAGTTAAAAATTTTTTTATTGGCTCATTCTGCTGATTATGGTTATGTAAACAAAATTAGCTTAATAATTAAAATTACTCAAAATTTGTAGATTTTCTTCTTTTCTATTGATTAGCCTCTATATATTAAAGTTTTTTTTTAACTTGTTTTTTATAATTAAATTTTTTTTAGCTAATGTTTAATAAATAAATTTGATTTGTAAATTAAATATATTATAAATAAAGCTATTTTGTTTTGTAATTATATAAGAATTTAATTTTTATTTTTATTTCTTAGATTACACTTTTTACTTAAAAATGATTGGTTAACTTAACTTTTATTTCTGACAATTCATCAATTATTATATAAAGAATATTCTATTCTTTTATTATTTCTGAATTATTTAGTTATTATTTACTTTAATACATTATTTAATTTTAATTTATCTATCTCACTTATAATTTCATTAATTTTTTATTTTATTATTTTTAATTGCTTTTAATTTTTAGGTCATATTTTACAAATTTTGTTTAAATGTTAAGTATAATATAAAATTCTTCTTATTAAAAAAATCTGAAATCTATAAAATTTAATTATATATATGTTTAATAATATTAATGTAATAATAAAATTCAAATATATTCATAAAAACCTTAAAAATAATATAATACCTTACTTTTTTGAAAATATTTAATAACAAAAAACTTTTCTTTTGGAGAAGTTATTCAACAATAGCTTTTTTATTATTTTTAAAATATGAATAAATTTTTTTAAAAAAGTGATTTATTGTATAAAAAAATAATTATTTGAAATATTTATAAAATTTAAAATTTATTGAAGTTTAAAAAATGTATTAATTTAATAAGAAATTTATTATAAAATTAAATTTAACTTTAATAACATAGTTTATTACAATAAAATCTTTAATAGTAAATTTTTATATGATATTTTATATAAGTTTTAATTTACATAATTGATAGAATATTCTAATATTATATATAAAATAATTGTATATATTAATCATATTATTTCTTATAATTAATTTTTGAAATATGAAGTTTATATAGTCACAGTTTAAATAGTATCATATATGAAATTAAAATACTTTTTATCATTTAGGAATTTTAAAATAAATTATTAAAGCAATGAAATAATTAGATACATTTATGATAATTAATACACTTAATTTTTTTATTACTTTTTACAAATAATACATATTTACTTGAATGATTATATAGAAGAAAATACTCAAACCTAAAGTTATTGATAAGTATTTTTATACTTTGGTCACTCTATACTATATTATATTATTGGTAATATTGACATATTTTTTCTTTTTTTTTCTTTTTATCAACATCTCTTCTAATTAATTCAATAGTTTTACTTAAGAAATAATTTTTTTTAACAAAGTTTTTCTAGAATCAAGATGATAATGCCTTTTTTTTCTTATAATTTATAAAATTTATATTTTGTTAAATAAATTTAAATTAGTTCAAAGTGTTTATAAAGTAAATTATTTATAAATACATATGTTTAATACATATTTTTACTTAATGTATCTAGTATTTTTTGATTTATTACTTTGATAAGCTTTTGAAATATAGTATGAAATTGATAATAAACTTTATAATAAAAAGAAGTATCAGTAATAAGCATAATCAATAATATTGATTTTAGTAATATAAGTAAATATTTTGACTAATTTATTATTTGATTTAATAGAATAATTTGCATTTTTAATAATCCAGTTGCAATTTGATTAATTGTAATTTGTTTTTTAACTAAAATTTTATAATTTATCTTCTAGTTTATTAAATATCAATTAGAATCATGAGCATTCATTAAATATATATTATAACTATAGACTTGAAACTGTTAATTTATTAGCTACTCTTCTGATATTTTATTCTAATATTTCTTCTTTATTATCTTTAATACTTTCCTATTGTTTTTAATATAATACAGGTTTTTTTAATTATAAATTATATCAGATTTGTAGTAATTAATATATAGTGAATTAAAAATTTTATATGTATTGTTATTTTTACCAAATAATATATAAAATTTATAGAAATTTATTTAATTATCGATAATTATTAATAATATAAAGAAATAGTTATTTGTTTTATATTTCTTTAAGTATTTTGTTTCTTTTTTAGATCATCATAAGTCATTATTAAAAGTTCATTTTATTTATTATTTTCATCCTTCTTGATAAATTTCATAAGTAATTTTTTTTATTAAAATATTCCTTGAGAGTTTGGTTAACATTAATTTTAAAAACATATGTAGCAAATTTTCTTCTTATCTTTTCTTTAAAATTCTTTAAATAAAAAAATTACAGTTCAGTTATATTCACTATAATATATAACAAGATTTAAGATTATCTATAAATCTATGTCTAAATCACAGCTATATTACTATATGCAAAATGTCATTAGTCATTTTTTGATCTTTTAACTGCATCAAACTCTCATTTACAATACAAATAAAATGTTAACTTTGTCTAGCATGCCCTATATAAAATAATCTATATTTAATATTTAATATTTTTAGAATTAAAAACTTTTTCTTTAATATAAACTTAAAGGTAAAATAAAAATAAAAGTATAGGTAAAAGTAAAATAAGAAGTAATTAGTTTTTTTTCAAATGCTATCATTATAAAATGCTACAATTTCATTATTTTTTTTTTGAATTAAAGAATCTATTAAAAGATATAAATATTTTGATAACTAATTTGCCTTTATAAAAGTCAAATTAAATATTAATAAAATAATAAATATTTGTAAAATATATATTATTATGTACAGTATATTTTAATTGCACAGAGATAAAAGAGGTAATAATTATGAATTTTTATTGTTACTCTGTTTAATATGTTTATTAGAATCAACTAACACAACAGTTGCCGAGTAATATTTTATTCATTCTCAAAATTGTGATGCAATAAATCAAATTTGCATAACTCAAATAAAAAAAACTTGATTGGTATAACAAAGAAACGTGGGTGATCAAAACTTTGGGCATAAAAAATTCTACATGATTTTATTTAATAAAACAAGTTGTTCAAAAAAGAAGAGACGGGAGATTATTACAATGGGGTTAAAGTATAATTATATTATATTATATCATTATATATATATTATTATCGTTTGTAACTTGCCCCGACATTTGTGGCGCAGTATCAATGTATTTTGAAAATTCGAACTTGGTTTCTTCCGAACGGGAATCAGCAATGTGTTTCAACAACCAACGATGCTTACCTCATCAAAAGCGGAATGGGTTTTATCGATTTTTCAATTTATGATTAGTCAGACAAGAATTTATATATATGAATTTAAATGGGAGAAGATAAAATATAGATTTCGCCTTTGGCGTTTCTTAGCGACTGATTTGTTATATTCATCTTGCTAATAATCAGGTTTTTTTTGTTTAGAATACGGAAATCGCCGCTTTTTACTAGTCCCTTTAAAACATTGAATCATTGATTGGTGCAATTAGGATGTACGATTAATGTATATAATGATCGTCCGCAGCAAACAAAGGTAAGATTGTTTGTTTGAATAAACAATTGAAATGCAAGGCTATCTAACTAATGAACCTCAAACCTTTCCTAAATATTTTTCTTTGTTATAATGACTTCTTTGATTTTCCTTTTTTTTAAAAAGTATTTAAAAAAGAAGTTTAAAGATTGATTATAAATTCAAAGGAGGCGATTTTTAATTTTTTTTGAATATAACCAATGAAAAGGGTTTTCTATTACTAATTTGGGAAGAGGTGAAAACTCATTTTTTTAGGAGATACAATACTTTCATTTTATGAAAAATACTTCCATTTGCATCCATAAATTCCGAAATTGACCCTGTATTCTATCTTTTATTTATTATAGGAAATCCTGGAAAATTTTCTAAATCAGGATGAAACGCGATTATTTAATTATTTACTATTGGTAATACAAATGAGGCACCTTACTGTATTAAATTTTAAAATGAATTATTATATATAAAACATTTTAAACGCACACAATTCGAAAAAAATCTTTCTCCTTTTCTTTCACGTTCTCATCATAAATGTATTTTACCAAAAAATATATGTCATTTTTTGGTGTATTCATTCGTTAAAAGAAATTATTGTTGTTGTTATCCTTCGATTCTCTTTTTTTAGCTTCGAATTTTTTTTTTTATTGCCCTCTTTGCAAAGGAAAACTTTCTTAACGAAGGTTCAAAGAGAACTTTATTATTAAAGAACAACGGGCATTTAATCAAACCTTACTTTCTTTAATGATTGGGATTTTTTTTTAAAATAAATAAATAAAAATATATATATATATATATATAAAATAAAGAATGAAATTTGAAAATGCTAAAGTTACAAAGAAACGAGATAGTTATTTCTATCTGATACGACCAGGTATAATTTCATGTGCTTTATGGATTATAGAAGCTATTGCCTTGTCGGTAAAATACTTATATGGTTCATTTGATTCATTGGAAGAAGACGAAACATCGAGTAAGTCTTTAATTTTTTATTTTGTCGTTTTGCGAATTCTACTCACTCATGATACCTTATTGCATTACAGTATATGCATTTGCCAAGGGTTCAACGTTGATTGTGACCTTGCACTTTGTATTATTGTCTATCATGAGCATACTTGCATTAATAGTTTATGTAAGTGACAAACTCGAGGATTTTGCTTTACTTCCATGACACGTGAAATTAATACAAATCTCCCTTAATTAGAAATCCAATCCATTCTTTCGAATATATTCAAACATTTCATGGCTATTTGCGGTTTTTATAAACTTTGTGATTGTCATGGTATTAATTGTCACGTCGTTGATTAACAAAAGAAGACATTGTGAAGTTAATCCAAATTGCCTTAATTATGTAAATGCTGGTTTGTTTTGGTTGGGTTTTGCTGTATTCCTTCAAGTTACCCTTACCCTGCACGTAAGTAATATCAATAAAAAAAAACCATTTTTTTTTTTTTTTTTTTTAAAAAAAATAATATTTTCATATCTCTTTTTCTTTCTCTTTTAGGTTTACTTTTCAATCATGTTGCGAATTAATGCAAAACGTCGGATGGAGAAAGAAAAACTAAATAGAATTAACAATCTTTCATCTAATATTTCGATTGGACCTAGTTTATTTAAGATTAAAATTGACAAAGAATATGATCTTACAGATCAAACTTTATAGACGACATCATTTAATTTAAACATCTACGTTCACCTTTTCATATTTTATAAAAAAAAAAAAAAAAAAAAAAAAAAAAATGCATCTTTTTATTTCTTTTAACCAAAGAGAAATAATAATAATAATCCTCTAATATACATTTCATTTTCGCATCGTGTACAATATTCCATTTTTTTTTTTTTTTTTTTTTAACATTATTCTTCATTTCTAACATACTATCATTCGAACATAATTCAAAAAAAAAAAAAAAATTTAAAATAAAATAAAGCACGGTTTGTAATTTAAAAACAAAATATTTAATTATGATTCATAAATTTTCTTGGCAATCATCATTAAATATGATTTCGTTATTCTATATAACTCACCGATCTGTATCTTCGGAATTGATGAAAATGAACGAATTTTTGTTCAAGATTTTCATTTCCCCTTTTTTCTTTGGTTTTACTTAAATTGAAACGTTTTCTGTAATTTTGTCGAAATATCACCACCCCAACAACCAACCCTACCTACAAAAAAAAAAATAAAAAAAAAAATTTATTTTTTTTTCCTTCAAAAATGAAACCCTTTATGACTAATTTTACACAAATAATTTTGCTGATGTTGGTAGGAACCACTTTAGTCTTTTCTCAATCATGTAATAATGACAACATGCAACTTTTGACGGATAACGTGGAAATAACGAATTGTTTCAGTGATAGTTTCAACAGTTTAAGAATACTCGACCCAAATGATCCAAACGTCGCTATAAAGTTAACGGAAATAACTCCAGCATTTTGTACATACCAATGTAATTCGGATCAACTCAGCGCAGCATCAGCTCAATATCATGCGATATGTTCCGGAGGAGATTATTCTTACGTAAATGGAGTTATATTATTAGATTCTTATGATGTAATATACTCAACATTATGTAATCCAGACAATTGTGTCGTCTCTAGCTTAGAAGGTTTAAATGAAAACGATCAAGTTGCAACAGATTTAACCTCGAAAATTGCTCAATCTCCACTCAATAATGTATGCACGGATTGTATTAGAAACTTGGCATCAACCTTTTTTCGCTATCAGTTTGATCATCCTTACACTACCCTCTCTGGTTCATTACAAAATATAAAGATGGCTTTGGAACTTAAATGTGGTGATAGCTTTGGTAAGTTCTTTAATTAATCTTTTTCTTTTTTTTTTTCTTACTAATAAAAATTTAACCAAATTTTTTTTCTAATTATTTCTTTTTAATTAGCATAAGCAGTTTACGAGTAAAATGGAAAATTGAGTTTCCTTGATGGAAATTTCATTTTTCTCACTTTATCACTTACAGTAATTTGTTTTGATTTCTAAAAATAACGTTATTCTGTCTATTATATATGCGTGTGTATATATATGTGTTGTTTCAAATTTAACAAAGCAATTTTCATATATTTTATTAATAAAATAAATACTTGATTATTTATGTGTTTATTTATACACGCACGTACCAAAATAATCTTGAATATTTTTATTTTTTGCGATCGAAATATGGAACAAAAAAAAAAAAAGTCCATTAAAATTTTCGCTTTACCCTCCCCGTTAAGTTCAACCGAGTATTTAGATAAAGATTGAATTGGAATTCAAAACTTCTAATTATAAATGTATAAATTTCGAAAAAAAAGCCGATTCGGGTTTAAAAATGCTCATTATGTCCCCAATGAAAAGATATCCAATAGCGAGACGAGAGGACTTGTACATTTCTCAATGACACCAGGAATAAATAACATTAGGTTCTTGCTTGATATAACACATCCTTCTTGAGGTTCCTTCCATTATTACTCTATCTCTTTGAATCAATAGATACCTTTTTTTAACTTTCTATAATGTCAAATCCGATAAACTTTACTGTATCATAATTACCAAGGCGCCCGAATTAGAAGTGAAAGTGTGACTTGTTTCACGATAGAATTAAAGAATACTGATCTTTGGTATTTTAGTTGAAATTCAAATTGAGTTTTATTTCTCTTTCGGACTAACATTTTAATAAAAAATTGTTTTTTTAGGGCCTTGTCAATAGAAGCACAATATTTACTTTACAGTCAATTTTTAGGTCATTTTAGATCACGTTTAATTAGTAAACTAGTATTTTGCAATTATAATTTTTTTTTTTTTTTAAAAAAAAAAAAAAAAAGAATTAACGTAAGCATAAAAGGAATATGTAAAATTAAATATCTTTTTTATAGATAGAAATAAAATGGGTTAGAATATTCAAAGTGAAATTAATATTATCATATTTGCCTCCTTTAATAAGGAATCCTGAGATAATTACTGTTAAACGGTTAAAGAATGGAACAAAAAAAGTTTATATTGATAGCATGCCCCGAAGATGGAAACAATGTATCGTTAATAATGGCAGGACTAAAAATAATCAATCTTTGTGCGGAAATTAATTTACGAGTGATTTTCGATCAAAAACTTAGATACCTTCAAAAGAAACGCCATGTGAAAAGTATTTACAAGAACGAGACATGACGATTATTGTTGGACGATCTTTTGAAAGAAAATTAACAAAAAGACAATTAAAACTTTTTTCCGAAAATGTTTAAAATGAAACAAACATAAATAGTAATTATGCCTAGTTTAGAAAATCATTTACAAAGGTTAAGGATGTTGATCAAATACATAAATAATTTTTTGATTGAGGAGCAAAGAAACTCACTCTTATTCACGACTTTATTTTTTTTTTTTTTTTAAAAAAAAAAAAAAATAAATAAAAAAAAAATAAATAAATTTACGTGTTTCATCAAATTTTAGATATATTTTCAACAACAAAAAAAAAACTTGTTAACGTATATCATTGAAAGGTAGCTTCGGGGCTTAGCTTATGTTAAAAGTATTTATTATCTTCCCGTTGAAATATATATTTTTTTTTTTTTACTCGACTTAATTTTTTTAAAAGTAAATAATAAATAAAACAAAAAAGAAAACTTTTTAACGAACTCTTAACAAAAATGCCCGTTCAACAAATGGCAAACTGTTGTGGTTGTGTTAGGTTAAAGGCCGGTGCCTTGATTATATCCATATTATGGCTTGTGAGTTTTTTTTATTTCTTTCAATCTTTTCAATAGATCATATACATTTTAATAATTCATTTAAAATCATTACTTACAAAATAAAAAGATTGACGGTCTTATTGGTAGTTTGAGCAATATCTTCGTTCTCGCCTCAAAAGAAATAATTGATTTTACAGATTTAGTGACGGATTGTAAGTGGTGACCTTCTCTCTCTCTTATCCTTTCATAAATAAAAAGGCAAATATATAATTTTTTTTTTTTATTAAATAAATATAGCAAGCCGTTACAATCGTGGATTTTCTATTCTGCCAGCCATTCTTTATTTATTGATAGCATTCGGAGCGGTATTTGGATTATTCGCAATAACCCGTACGGTATGTGATGAGAGAATTTGTATAACAATGTTGATTCCGTTAATTTTTCATTCCAAAGGATCCCATTAATTTTTATGATTATTATTATTATTCATTTAGACGCATAAATGGTTGTTTAACTATTCTAAAGTCGCATATGGTATTGCAGGAGCTGAAATTGTTGTTCATGCCTATATGATTATTCTTATTATCGTACATAGATCATCGATCATGAAAGAATGTGAACGGTACATTGAAACCACTTCTCCTGAATTTGGATACGCATGTCCCCAAGGATACAATTATACCTTAACATTCAATATAGCCTATGCCATCGTTGTAATCCTTTTATCGGTATGTTATTAAATGGTTAAAATAGTTTCTTAAAAAACGAGAGAAAAAAATTGTTGATCCAAAAAATTTTTTTATCGTAATAGGTGTATTTTGCTATGGTAGTCTCAGCTTATGCACGTAAAACTCGAGAAGAAACCGAAACTCAAAAAGAACAAGCTGAATAATATTAAGTTGGTGTTTATTCTCTCACCCATCACAAATTTGGTACGATCTGTCTATCCAAATAAATGCCCTTTATTATAAATCCCTAAAGTATCAACTGATAACATTTTCTTATAAAAAACAAGTTTTATACCTGTATCATGTTATTATTTCTCATACTGCGTCGCCGCAATTCAAACTTAGTTTCAGGATTCATGCGATTATTACGACATCTCAACATAATATAATAATTTGGTCAAAATGATTGCATTTGTTGAAGACTCGCTTTTTTTTTTCGTTCTGTTTTCCCATCATTTTAAAAAGAGTAAAATTTCGCAAAATTTTCTACGTCTTAAAATTTCTTTCTCGCTTGATTAATCATGTCTTCTACTAATAAACCCTCCCACGTCCTTGCTGATTTATGCATCACCCCAATGGGGGTTGAGCCTAGTACCAAAGACGTATGTATCAATTCTCGTTCGGAGGGATGTTAAATTACAAAGATTCAATCATTTTATTTTTATTTTCAGTACATCAAAGAGTGTGTAACGATTTTGCAAAAATCTAGGTAAATAATTCTTATCATCCTATTTATCACTTCTCTTGTTTTATTAACACGTTCGTTCAATTTCATCAAGCTTGAATTATAACGTGCATGCAAATGGAACCAATTTCGGTTTGTCGAACTTTAAAAACTTAATGCATTATCGTTAAATAATAATCATGTGCATTAAATTCTTTCATCGTGACAGAGGGTAACTTTGATCAGGTGATGTCTACCATTCGCAAGTGTGTTGAAAGAATGCACGAAATGGGGGTTCCCCGTTGCGAAACTAGCATCCGTCTAAACGTGAGTCGCTTGTTTTCAAAAAAAAAAAAATCTTTATCGCTCACGTGATTCACTTCATGAAATTGTCAAATTCTATAGACTCGTGTCGACAAGTCCATCACCATGCATGACAGGTTTGTCTCACCCTGCCTTTTAGGTTCGACAATGTTTGCAACTTTGTGATCTCATTATTTTTTACTGCGGTGACAATTCTTTAGCATCCGTTCCGTGGCTAACGCTGCCCAAGGTTGAAACCATTTTGGAATTTATCCGTTTTTGGGGCGGCGAATCAGATCTTTATTTTTGCTTATTTTTACTTATAATATATCGATATAAGATTTTTGAGTTTTTTTTTGACCGAAAAAAAAAAAAACGCCAGCTTTTTTTTTTTTATCCAAGAATGGAATTGTAGCGTCATCAATCCGTTTTTGTCATTGTTCATCATCCGAAAAAAAAATCTCTCTTTTTAATAAATATTCTTTTTTTGGTCCTGTCACTCGTAACCATTCATATGAAATTTACGTTTTCAAATGTATTAAATGAAATGTTTTACAACATGTAAATAAACAAAACTTGTACTGAGATAACTCGGAGAAATCTAATGAAAAAAAATGATTGATATATTCGTGGGAAATTTCGGATAATTCATGTAGGCTAACGGAGCAAGGAGATCTACGGAACCAAATTTAAAAATAATTATTATTTCGACTGCCCTGATTTGTTAATAAAGGATGTTATTACTCATAATTACAACTTGAATTCCTTTATTTGTAATTTCTCCATTTTTTTTTGAACCTTATCCCCTAACCATAATTTACTCATCTCTTTTTTTGTAAAAAAAGATGTTACGTTCGAAAAGAATTCTGCCACAAAGGGATAAAGGTTGTAACCGAACAGGGATCTCGTAATTCCGATAATATTTCGGACTCAATGAAATGAGATATTTGTATTTGGCGTATGATTCGCTATTATAAGATTTCTATAAGATTATCAGGGTCAATAAACAAATAAATCATCATCATCATCGAATCAATTTTTTTTTTTAAAAAAAAGATATTACTTTGTAATAGAGGAAAAAAAAAAAAAAAATGAAAAAAAATTTTTATGTATATCGATATGGATTTAATATCTAGTGCAGGAAGTTACACCGCCTGTTACGAAATGTCCGATGAATTGCGTAATTGGGTAATTTGTGGGAAATACCGGTTGGGTTATATAAAAAAAAAAATTTTCTTTACGTTTTGGTCTTTTTTTTTTTTCCTAAAGAAAAAATGGAACAAATGGAATAATGAAGTGAAGCAATATTTTTTTTTTTGTGCGCACAGCACCTTGTTACGATTGCTTCAGATTGGTTCTACATGAGATCAATCAGAGAGGACAGAAAAAAAGTATTTATACCCCACCCTTGAAAAAAAAAAATTTTTTTTCTTTTTTTCTCGTCTCCTCTTTTTTACTCTACCTTTTTACCGCTTTCCCTATTTCATATTAAATCGGATTCCTTCCTCTATCTCTATCTATCCTCTATCTCGATATATATTTACAAATCATATCTTGACTAATAATGTCAACAACGGAACCGGTGGTGGCATCTTCGTCACTAGAATTTATACGTACAACACGTGATTTTTCACCGGAAAAACAGTATGCTATACAAAAAAAAGTTTTCGAAAGATTTGCGTCTGTCAAGTTTGGTGGACAGAAATATATGAATCGAGAGGATTTTATTTCAGCCATAGCACCGGGAGAGGATTACAAAAAAATACAAAAAGTACAATTCGCTATATTATTTAGGATAGCTGATAGTAGGGGGAAAGGTTTAATATCATTTCAGGACTTTATAATATTCGAAAATCTATTGTCAAAACCTGACGCGGAATACGAAATCGCTTTTAGATTATTTGACGTTGAAGGTAAAGGAAAGATCACTGTTGACCAGTTTAAGGAGATCCTGACCTCAAATGTAGAACCTGATAGCATTCCCTTTAATTTCGATTGTGATTGGTTAAAATATTATGTTGGTTGGAATAATCACAAGAAGCATGAATTAGATTATGAAGAATTTACTCAATTGTTAAAAGGTTTGCAGGCGGAACGTTTGAGGCAAGAATTTAAATTTTATGATCAAGAAGGATCCGGTTATATCTCCCCCGAATCATTCAAGCGAATCATCCTTTCTATCGCGAAACATAAATTATCTGATTATCTCATAGAACATTTGCCTACTTTATGTAACATATCAGCCGGTAAAAAAATAAACTATGCTACTGTCGTGGCGTTTCATAACGTTGTAAGACAAACGGATATGGTTGAAAGGATCGTGTTGAGGGCTATATCAGAAAGCAGTGATGGACGTATCACGAAAAACGATTTTCTCAATACCGCTGCAAAAGAGACGAGATTTTCTTTATTTACCCCATTAGAAGCTAATATAATATTTCATTTCGCCGGACTTGGAAATCTTTCGGGAAGGTTAAGTAGAAGGGATTTCGCACAGTTGTTGGATCCTAAATGGCAAAGAAAGCCTGACCAACAAATATCAGACAAAGCACAAACGACAAAACATAAAGGAATTTTATGGGGGGTATTCCATCACGTGTATTCCTTTACTCTCGGGTCGATCGCTGGTGCCGTTGGTGCTACCGTCGTTTATCCAATCGATTTGGTAAAAACGAGAATGCAAAATCAGAGATCAAAAGTTGTAGGAGAACTGTTATATAAGAATAGTATTGATTGTTTTCGAAAGGTCATAAGGAACGAAGGTCTTTTAGGTCTTTATAGTGGTCTCGGTCCTCAATTGGTTGTAAGTAGAGGTCACGAAATGCGTGAAGTTTTTTGTTGTGGGGAAATTAAGTTAAAAGTTTTTTTTTCCCTCGCGTTATTTTTAGGGCGTTGCGCCGGAAAAGGCCATCAAACTGACAGTGAATGATATTGTAAGATCAAAGTTAAAGAATGAGAATGGTTTCCTTCCATTAAAATACGAAATTTTGGCCGGTAGTACTGCAGGAGGTTGTCAAGTGGTAAGCTGAGACTTGTGAGAGAGGGAGATTTTTTTTTTTTTTTTGCGTAAATCCGATGACGTTGTTGGATTAAAAACGTGTATGTATATATTTTTTTTATATGTAGATTTTTACAAATCCATTGGAAATTGTAAAGATTCGACTTCAAATACAAGGAGAGATGGCAAAGAAGTTATCACCAGATATTCAACGTAGATCAGCGTTATGGATTGTAAGGAATCTCGGAATATTAGGATTATATAAAGGAGCGTCGGCATGTTTATTAAGAGATATACCATTCTCGGCCATTTACTTTCCAGCATATTCGCATCTTAAATCAGATGTGTTTGGAGAGGGACCGGAGAAAAAGCTAAGCATAGGAGAGTTATTATCGGCAGGAGCCATAGCAGGTATGCCAGCAGCATATTTAACGACACCAGCCGATGTAATCAAGACAAGGTTACAAGTTGAAGCAAGAAAAGGGCAAACAGCATACAACGGAATATTTGATGCGGGAAGGAAAATCTTTGCAGAAGAAGGATTCAAAGCTTTCTTTAAAGGAGGACCAGCCAGAGTATTTAGATCATCCCCACAATTCGGTACAACTTTAATGGTTTACGAATTGTTGCAACGATGGTTCCCTTGGAACGCTACAGAAGAAAAGGTTGGTAAGGTTGTCAGCAATGTCACAGAAACTGGTGACCTTGGTGGTTACCTCAAAAGTAGAAATGCCTTAAAAATCTTATTGGTAAGTTAAAATAATTTTTAACGTCATAAATTATATGCCTTTTATTAAGAAATCATAATAATGAAACAACAACCTTTTGTTATTCTTTTAGGATTTGGATTATAAATTTGGGGTAGTTCCAAAGAATATTAATGTACCTAACGTTGGTGTTAAATTACCATCTTAATCATCACACATTCATATATATATATAATTAATTAATTAATTTTTAAAAAAAAAGTATTAATTATTACATTACCATCATTAGCATCTTATTTATCAAATTCATTATTTGCTATAGAAGTTTTTAATTCTTATTTTTTTTTTTTATTTCATTTATTTATTTTATGTCAAGGTATTATATACATTATAGAAACAAAGTTATTCACATAATATTATTTTCATAAGTAGAAATTTAAATAAATATATATATACACACAATTAGATTTGTTAAAAAAAAATAAAAAAATCCATACATTTTTTTATTACATCACTCATCATACATTTTTTATCAACATAACTTTCCCAAAATCGGATTTCTCTAGATCCTCATTTCTTAAACCGCTTTTATGCTTTCTCAATTTATGATCATCTAAACCGCTGATGCTGTACATATTTACAGCCAAGAGACAGATCGAACCACCCAAGAAAAAGTTGATGGTAGGAAGGAATTCCAAAGTAAAGTAACAAACAAAACTACTAAAGAACATTGCCAAACTGCTCGCATAAACCTTTGTTATACTACCGCTATACTTGATGATAGCACTCGTAATTAAACCAAGGGAACATGCGGTTATGACTATGGCATAATGAATTGGGTATAAGGTGGTGAAGAAACCTTCATCGGTTGGAAACGAATGAGTGAAATAAACCGAACCATTTAATAATACCCCAAATAAGTACAATTTAACATTTTGTAAGTGGATGGATTCTTGACCGAATTTATCCTTCATCACATATTCAGTATAAACCGAAGCACCGGCCGATATTGAAGAGAAGATTATGATCAATGGAAATCCGAGTGATGACGAGGTAAATTCGAATTCCCCTTCCGAAGATAATTGAATCTGCGCTATCGTCGTACCAACAAATAATAAGATCAAAGATACCCATTGAGTCGTACTTAAAATTCTATTTAAGAAGACATAAGAGAATAGTCCGGTGGTAAGAATCTTTAAATTACTGAGGATGGTAAAGGTTGGAGGATTCATTAAGGATAGGATGATGAAGATGAGATTATTATTGATGAAATAGGCCATCGCTGGTATGCCAAACATTAAAGTCGCCTCGCTCGCGAACGCGGATTTTAAAGATCGAAATAATGGGTTTAGATTGACCATTGATTTTGATTTTCGAAACCTTTTATGGTACGGTGATGAGAATTTAAATCGGGACGAGGATGTCTCATACGTCATTCCCCTCGAAAAGCATCCCAATTCGATTGAAAATAATATAATTGATACTAAAAAAAAAAATGAAAAAATGAAAAACGAGTCAATATACATTTACACTTACATTTACATATATAT